CTATTTATACAGTCTATCTTGAAGGTTCTATTAGGAGACAGAAGCCGCCACTTTTCCTCCTCTAAGAAACAAAAATCTCAGGATTCTAACTATAACTCTAAATAAGAATCCGCGTTGGGTCATACCAGTACTACTCAAGACATGAAGAGTTATTTATATTGAGGACAGTGAGAGAAACTATGACAAATCCATGAGATAAGAATAGTAATACATTAAATGGAAAACAAGACATGAGGCAAAAATAGAATGCCATAGAATTCTAGAGATAAAACAACAAATAGGACTCAAGGAACAACTAAAATAAACTAAGAAAATATATGTACATAAGACCAGTTAAGCTCCTGGCACATAGTTTAAGGACTTAGAGTTCATTCATTCGTTATTTATGAAGTAATTTGAGAACCTAGAAAGTTCTTCTTTGCCAGTCACTGTGGGGCTATAAAGGCAGTATTGACATTGTCCTTGCTCTCAAGAACACTATTAAAAGATCCTAACCAACTGTGAGTGAAATTATTTGCACATGAAACAATTAGAGAACAAGGAGGCAACATGTAATACATTGCAAATACTAGAATATGGGTCCTGGCAACATGAAAAACTGAAAAACAAATGAAGCCATACACACTAGGCAGAACCTCAAAGAGTGGATAAAAGTATGTTTAAGAATTAACTATACATCTAAAGACAAAAAGATGAATCACCAAGAGAAACAAAGAAGCTTAAAGCTAGAGCAACAGGCTCATGGGTTGTGTTCCATCAGTGACCGGGGTAGAGGGGGTGGTGGGATATTGGACCTAGAATACTCTTCAATGCCTTGAGAACTAAACCCTTACAAAGGGTCAAGAGACATATTCTTGGGCCCACACTGAGAAATGTTCTGTATCTCATGACCCTGCATAAATCCAGTAAAGGGGAAAGTAGAAAAAAACCTACAGAAGTAACAAGGATGTACAGGTGTGGAGTCTAAATTTATAGTACTTATGTTGTATATGATTCCTCAAGCTGAGAAGCTAATATAAAATCTGGTTCTGGATCAACAAAACTTCTGGGTGCCTGGCTAGACAAATGCAAAATCTCTCCACAGGGACAATTCTATAACCCAGATAGCATGGTACTACCACAGAAAAACCAATCCACTCTCTAAATATAATGTAGTATCCTGGATTGGATCCTGGAACAAAAAAAAAAGACATTGGAGGAAAAACTGGTGAAATGTAAATATAATCTGGAGTTTAGTTAATAGTTACGTACCAGAGTTGGTCTGTTAATTTTGACAAATGTACAAGGGTAATATAAAGTGTTAACATCAGGGGGACTGGCAGGAAATCTCTGTATTGTCATTGCAACTTCTGCATAAATCTAAAATTCATTCAAAATAAGAAGGTATTTTTTAAAAATCCTCCCTGAAGCTTACAAAAACTAAAAACACAAGAAAACAATCTACCATGAATGACAGTAAATGCAATGTCCAAGAGGATTAGCACTCATAAACTTTAGATATTAGAATATCTGAAGGAAAGGATAAAGACAGTTGAGGATTAGTAGAGACAAGATGAGAAGTCAGTGAAAGAAAAGGCCACTAAAGAAAAAGAACAGAAGATTTTATTTATTTTTATATTTTATTTATTTGACAGAGAGAGAGAAAGAACAAGCACAAGTAGGGGGAGGGGCAAAGGGAGATGAAGAAGCAGGCTTTCCTCCAAGCAGGGAGCCCGAAGCAGGGCTCGATCCCAAGACCCTGGGATCATGACCTGAGCTGAAGGCAGACGCTTCACTGACTGAGCCACCCAGGCGCCCCAAGAACAGAAGATTTTAAACAAAAAAAATGAAAAATAACTTACAGAATATTCAAAATAATTAGACAAAATTGAGAAAAGAACTGGAAGACTTATATAACCGAGGAAGTGATCCAGGATGCTCTTTAAGAAATAAAGACATGAGAAAAAATAAAAGGCTCTAAGAGACATAGAAGGTAGAAAGTCCATCAAATATAGAAGAGGATCATCAAAGGCAAAGTCTTACAGTGCTTTAGTGAGTTGTTTTTTCATAAAGATTTAGAAAGAAGAGTTTGGCAATTAGATTAAAAGTATTAAAACACTCAATCCAAGAGCACTGGACTAGCATCACTATAAGATGTGCATTATTTTCTTCCAGGTGCTTTATGTGCAATGATGACCAAGGCTATCTGGTACTAACCATGATTCAGCTATCCAAAGGAGGTCAGCATGCAATTATCTTTTCCAGCATCTATTAAAAGAACAGGACCTAGTCCTGGGAGGTGGAGGAAATGGGGAGGTGTTGGTCAAAGAGCACAAACTTTCATTTATAAGTTCTGGGGATGTAACATACAGCATGGTGACTATAGTTAAAAATACTGTATTATATACTTGAAGGTTGCTATGAAGGTAGATCTCTAATGTTCTCATCATGACAATAACAAAATTGGAAATTATATGAAATGAAGGATGTGTTAACCAACCTAATTGGAGTAAACATTTCACAATGTATACATGTATCAAATCATCACACTGTACATCTTGAACTTACACAATGTTATAGGTCAATTGTATCTCAATAAAGCTGGGGGAAAAAACCAGACAGTTTTAAAGGCAACTAGGGATAAATGATATTACTAGGGAGAAATGACAAATGACCCAAATATGAACAATTAGACTTACTGTTAATAATAGTAAAAGGCCAGAATTACTTTCAACTACTAAGCTAGAATTTTAGCCCCAGCTAAACTATCATTCAAGAATGCAAATGACATGGAGATTTTTCAAAGTTTGAGATGATTTAGCACATATAAACCCCTTAATGAAATAACAAACAAAACATAACCCAAAACTGAACCCCAAAGGATAAGATGAAAGAAGCAATGTTTAAAAACCCAAAATGAAACAAAAAACTGGTATGCACACAGGTAAATCTAAATAAACTCTAAAAACAGTGACAGTCAGGATCCATTTCGGGAGATGGTAGAAATACAGCATCAGGGAATGGAAGCATGAAAGTTAAGTGAGAGGTGCCTGGAGTTAAAACACTCCAAGGTCTTTGTGATAATTTGGAAGAAGATGGAGATTCTGATTAACTTTCCAGTTCAAGTATGCAGAGTAAGAAATTAAGATTAATCACTAAAAGAATAAACATATAATGCATAAATTCAAAATAAAACAAAGAGGCAGGGAAAAAAACAAGAAAGAAATGAAGACTAGACAGAAAAAAAATGTGCCAGAAATAAAACCAAATATATCAGTAATAACAATATATAACTGGATTAAGCTTTTCAGTTAAGACTTTCTCAGACTGAGCTAAAAAACAAAAAATGCAGCTATATGCTGTTTAAGAGACACATCTAAAACACTACACAGAGAGGCTGAAAGCAGAGGGATTTGGAACAATACCCTTGGCAAATATTCATCAAAAGAAAGGTAATTATAACAACTGTAATATCAGACAAAAAGAAAAATCATAATTAGAGATAAAGAGGGTCAGCCCATAATGACAAAGGAAATAATTCATCAATGAGACATAATCTTAAATTTGCATGTCCCTAACACTATAGCTTAAAAAAACACGAAGCAAGGGATGCCTGGCTGGCTCAGTCTGCCTTTGGCTCGGGTCATGATCCCAGGATCCTGGGATCGAGTCCTGCATTGGGCTCCCCACTCAGTGGGGAGCCTGCTTCTCCCTCTGCCTGCCGCTCCCCCTGCTTGTGCGCACACTCTCTCTAACAAGTAAATAAATAAAAATCTTAAAAAAAAAATACACGAAGCAAAAACTGACAGAATCCAGTAGGCGATTTTAAGCACCATTCTCAGAACCTGATAGGTCAAACGGATAAAATATTCCTAAGAACACACAATTCGAACAATAGTCCTAAAATTTACTATTTGAAAATATTTACAACTTTGTTCTAACCCTGCACCTATAATTAGAAAATACACATACCTTTCAAATACATGCAGAACAAACACAGACCATATACTAGGGCACAAAACAAGCCTCAACAAATAACAAAGAATCTTTATGTTACAAACCAAGTTTGTTTGAACAAAAAGGCAGCCTCAAACTCTACACGTTTGGAAATTAAAAAAAAAAAAAAAAATCCTACATGGCTCAGTGCATAAATCCTAAAGAAAACTGCAAAATGTCTGGAATAAAAGACAACAGAAGTTGCAAACCAAAACTGAAATGCAGCTAAAGCAGCACTTTTTTTTAAAGCACAAATCAATGAGCTAAGAATGCAACACAAAAAGTTAAGAGAAAAACCCAAGGAAAACTCCAAGAAAGATAGATCTTAATTCTCTAAAAATGTTGACCCTTTGAAGAGGAACTCTGCTCTGCAGAGAAGAGGTAGCTTTTTAGATCCACTTATTTGGGAACAGATCAATATATGTTTTCATGAGTTTTTTGGGTTTTTTTTAAGGTGACTCATTAAGAAGGAAAATACAGATCGCATATAATCTACACTGCACCTATTGCTAAAATGCTTAAATCAAGCGTAAGGATTCCATAATTTAGTCCAAACCAGGGCACGGGGACGACTGCACGGTGTGATGTCATGTCTTCTCCAGACTGAGTTTCTTCAATCCAGACAAGAAAGAAGGAAAGGAAGAATACATGCTCATTAGAAACAAGGAAGGAAAGAATAGATGCTCATTTCCTTTTTTTTTTTTTTGTAAATGACATTCAGAGTTTTGAAAACTTTGCTGAAACCTTTCCGCCTCTAGCCTGAAATAATATGAAGCTTCTATTTTTGCAGCCAACAGTAATCCTGTTCATGATAAATGATTCAAGTTTCTGAAATGTCGGTAAAAAAGTCTGACCCCTCGGCATTTGCACTTGCCCGAGGCTATTTCAGTGGGGTGGGAGCATGCGTGGGGGGGGTGTGGCAGCGTGTAAGGTGGTGGTCCACTCCCAATCCCCCGTGGAGCAAGATGAAGTAGAAATTATGTGTTTAGACGCTTCCCCAATAAGCAAAGAGCAAAATGCAGCAATTTGTAATGATTCTATTTATTAATACATGTATCACAAATGTTCACAATATCAACGCATTCTTGTTGGCATGCTAGACAGAGGCATTGTTTCTTAAGTTCTTCTAAAAATATTTTGACTTTGTTCCCCCTTCACATTCGTTTTTAAACTGAATTGCTGAGGTCCTCGATGTCCGTAATGTCGATGCAAAGAAAAAATACAGAAAGAAGTGAAATAACACAAGAGCAATTAATTGGGGAAGAACAGAAGTATTATTATCTCCTTCACAGGAGGCAACAACACAGCTTGGTAACAGGATTATACAGGGTTTCACCCGAGAGGCATGGGGGCCACTAAACTGTCTACACACACCCAGGCATGTAACAATAATGAGCAAGGAGGCCACCTAACGCTCAGCTATTTCCTTCATGCATGACGCAGGCTTTTTCCTCCTCACGGACCATTACTGATGTCTGTCTTTACATATCCTAGGCAGCCTGAAGAAGGTAGGAAAGAGCCTTAGTAAAGGGAAGACCAAACCAAAGGAGATTAAGCCAAAAGAACAGACAGCTATCAGCTTATCTACATCAAGGGGTATGGCATTTATCAGTCCTGAAGGGTGAGCGGGAACCTTCCATACTACATGCAGGGCCTGGCGGGGCCAGGGACGGTGTGATAACCAGTCACCTACAATGAGCTAGAGTTGGACCAAGTACAGATGAAGGAGATGGCACGCAGGGGGCCTCAGGTGGGGTCCGCTAGGACTGGATGCAGGGAACCCGGCTACACTCTGGCACGACGGGGCTTCACCAAATGGAACGGTACACGGGATGCGGGCTGGAAGGCGGAGCGAGACTGCGCGGGCGGGTCGGTTGCACACTGGCTGGGGGGTTAGGGAGCGCGGGGGCGGGTGTGTTAGGTACTGTGCTCTAACATCCTCTGGAAGTCTTTCAGAGAGTGCTGTGGTTCCTTTTTAAAACAGGTCTCTTATTCCATCGTGCTTGAAAGACTGCGAGAGAAATGAAAACACGTGAGTGACTTACGGTTAATAAGGACTTAAAATAAGGTAACAAGCTAAAAGGAGCATTCGGACGTTTCACACCATCCTCCCTGGGCCACAGAAATGAGGTTTCAGCACGTGCGCGGGTGCTACCGAGATCAGGTAGGTTAAGTGGCAGGGTGTGCCCCAGAGGGAGAACCCCGAGATTAAACACTCCCCACATGCACTCACCTTCTCCTTACACCATCTCATACTGGTTGGCCGTGATGAACCGGGACAGACAGCAGGCCAGCAGCATGCCGATCAGCTGTTGCCAGAAGAGAAACGAAGACCACAATCTCAAGTCACTGAACTGCACACTTCTTTGGCCCCCCAGATGTAATTTTTAACAACTGAGGGCTTTTGTATGCGAATGAGGAAAAGGGCACTAAAGAAAAAGATCAATCGTGATTTCCCTGGGGGGCGTCTAAGACTTCGGGAGTCTGACTGCTAGGGCAGGACACCTGGAGGTTCTAGAACCGGCCATGAGGTTCCACTCTAGCGTGCTCTGGCTGCTTAAAAACAACTTTTGACACATAAGCAGTGTTACGATTTGTTCGTGTGTTACGAGAGTAGGGGAAAAAATGGAAGGACCACAGAATTAGTAAGGTATGCCCAAAAAGGCCGAACGTGTGCATCGGGCAGATATCGCAACATGGTGCGATCCCTCCGCCATTCATGGCCAACAGGATAGTCTTTCTTCCCTTAAGGCAACGAGACACTATTCTTGCCTGGGTGAGTTTGCCAGGTGAGGCAAGAAAGCCATGGCTTGAGAGTGGTAGGTGTTGGGTTAGGGGAAAGGGGACATCAGGGCTTTAATTTCTCTTTGTGTCTAGCCATGTAGATATTTTAGGCCTACGTTTTGGTTTCCACCTCAGATGTGCAGACTCTGGTGCTCTGAGGGCTGGCACCCAGTGTTGGTGCGTCAACCAGCCTTCCAGGTGAGAGAAGCAATTCATCCAGGCCACGCGGTGGCCCTTATCTTACAGGTGGGACACATGCAGGCACACCGGGTCCCACTGTGGCTTGGGGCAACCCCTGAACACAGCTACCTTTCTTGCGGAAATCCTGGATTCTTATCTTCCTTTTTAAAAGTAAAACTATGCCGTGAAATATAAAAACCATAAGTTCCGTCAGGTGAGGAAAAATCACCACCTTATTGAACTCACCCTATCTCCTACCAAGGCTCTGACCAACATCATTTTGTGCCACAAAATTCATAGTATCCTGCCCAAACCACCAAATCACCAAAGGAGCCATGGCTGTAACCTCCAGAATTCTGTGCCAAATGACACAAATTAACCCCCCCCCGCCCCCGCACCCACGACCCTGAGATCATGACCCGAGCCGAAATCGAGTCGGACGCTTAACCAACTCAGCCACCCAGGCGCCCCTAACACACTTGATACTCTTAAAAATCAGATTTCGGCCAAAAAAAACCAAGTGATCATTAGAGGTATAGCATATTCAAGTGTATCAAGCTATTTAACCCTCACCACATCCCTGTACAATATTACTGTCCTAACCTTCCAGATAAGAACATGGGCTCAGGGGAGGTTAAAGAATTTTCCCCCAAACCACACTGGTAGTTCATCCAGAACTTAAGATTCTACCCTCTTTCCCCTGTCGGAGGACAGCCCCTTTCTTTGCCTCCCCCCTCCCCCACCCCTACAGCTCAGCCTAGACCCTGTCCTTTTCCAGAATCACTCCTCTGTCTCACACTATCAGGGGTTCCTTCCTGCCTTGCCTTGCAAACTTTGGACAAAGGGGTTTCAGTGGGCATCTCTCCATTTGATTTCCAGTTCCTAAACTCTTTTTTCTTTGTAAAAGCTGATGAGTTTCATGTTTCCCCACTGAGCTCACGTGTGCTTGAAGCACTGAGGATAGTTACTACTCCGCTTCGTGGGTTCCAACGCTCTCATAATTCAGTGCTTTCTGATGCTCCTGGCCTCCATGGCAATTCATGAGCCACACAGCCAGAAGACTCCTTAGGATGCTTAAATATTTCTTGTATCTAAAATCTCTGCTTTCAGGGAAATATAGCATGGGCTTCCACTTTTTTTTTTCCCCCAAAACAGAAGCAGCATTATTCTTAAGCACTGGACTTCTAAAAATATCAGTACAAATGAAAGCTACTTGCTTTTAAACTTACTGCCTTTTACCTTGAAACTAATAATACAGTATGTGTTAACGAAATTGAATTTAAATAAAAAATTAAAAAAAAAGAAAGATGCTTTTCACAAAACCAAAAACAAAAACAAAAAAACCAAACAAACAATCAAAAAACCTCACTGTGTTTTATATTTCTGGGGCAAGAACATACCTTCTGTTTGCCCACGGAAGAAGACAGATTTTTAAAATTATTTTTCAACATCTACTAAGAAATTTGTTTTCCTAAAAAAAAAAAAAAAAAATAGCATCCTGAACTGAGGTTCATAGAAGCTATATGAAAACAGTATTTTGCACACACTGGCTTTTATTGTATTTGATTCTAGTGCAAGAAAAACTAGGATTTGGGGTGTGGTAGGTATTTTGGATTTTCGCAGGGTTACGGATTTCAAATTTGCTCTAGTGTTTTTACCATATTTGAGAGAAAACTTTGACCTCTCACCTCCATAAGTACCAAGTTCAGGGAAAGTCAGGAGCTGGGGAGGAGGGGGGAAGCATCCTATACTTCACAGTAGCTGTCACCAAGTGATTTCTGGGTACCTGACGGAAAGCCTGTTCAGCCAAAGTCAGGGCCTCTGCCTCAGTGTGAGTCAGGACAAACGCTTGCTTGCCACTAGACCCAGTTCATCTGTAGCCAGAAAAGTCCATCCTTATTTTGATGAACTCTTGTTTCAGGCTAACTATATGGAAAAAGCCCCTCAAAGAGTAGAGGTACGTTCTGTGCCCCTGAGAAGCACGCTGCTGGTGTGTAGCAAGGCTGAAGTAGGCACTAGGCCAGACTTCTGCTTTAAGGCCCGGATGGAGAGAGGAAAAGGGGGCGCTCGTCTCTCATGCTGGAAACCCCTCAGGACGGAGACCCCAGAGCCACTCCTCACCATTCTGGTGGCCGGTGAAAGGCCTGGTGCCAGACGGCCTCCGGAGTTTTAGATCAGATTATTTATATTTGGTTGACGAAGACTTTGTAATTCATCTTCATCTAGTTTTTTTTGAGGTGACATTTTATTTTTACCACTGTCTGCCCTGTCAGTACTATATTCTGCTTTCTTTTGGGTCATGGAAACCTCTGGGACGTTCCGCCGCTTCAAGAACTGAGAAGCCAGAGAGGGGGAGAGAGAAGAAAAGGCCTCCACTTAAGAGAAGGCTGACTCCAGGCTTTCTCAAGGCCCTCCCACAGAGACAGCCTGACAGGTCGAGCGACATGGGGTGCCCCTCTGGGGCTCTGCACTTCACCGGGGACCCGGTAGATGCCAAGAGGTGGGAGAGAAGGGCACGAGAGAGGTGGGGCCCAGGCCAGCGAAGACCAGAGAGCTAAGGGCCAATAGGCCCAGGGCGTCCTCCCTGCCATCACCATGGGAGGCAAAGGTGGCCCAATTCCCGATTCCAGTCCACAGAGAGGACAGCAAAGTTGTAAAGGCAACTTTCTGAACAAGCAAGCGACAAGCAATAGGTCAAAAGCTTATTAGATCCTTATCATGCCTGTGGAGATGGTATGCTAATGACTGAGGTGGGAGACCAAATAAAACTTCCGTGCCTTGGGCAAGTGCCAAGGAATCTGGTTTGACATAAAACTGTATAAATGCTATTCGGGACCATCTCGGGCCCTGAAGATACTAGGGGAATAAGTAAATAGTTCCATTAGCCTTCTTTGGCCATGTCTCATCAAGGCTATGAACAGCTTCGTCCAGCCCTCTACAGGGAAAAGGTCATAAGTCCCAGAAAAGAGTTCCTGGTTCATAATGAATCATCCCAGCAGCCTGTGGGCCCTGGAAGAGGCCCCACAGGGGTGCGGGTCAGGGGACGGATGGGTAGGAGGAGGATCTGTCTTTTTTTTTTTTTTTTTAAGATTTTATTTATTTATTTGACAGAGAGAGACACAGCGAGAGAGGGAACACAAGCAGGGGGAGTGGGAGA